GACCATTTTTTCTTCCTCTATTTCTTATCTCTTTTTGTCTGGTGTTCCAAATTCTTTGAAGAGGAAGCGAGTCGACCGCGACGACAATGTCCGAGAAGATCATGGTAATCTCTTATTTTCCGCGCGACCGATCCGCACGGTGCGAATTGGAAAACGCGAGCAGAAAGAAAATCAAGTCGATAGGAGGAAGGAAGGAAGAAAGGAAGGAAGGAAATAAAAAAAAGAAAGAATAAAAATAGATGGCGAAAGAAAAGAAGGACTCTAGGAGGATTTTCGTTTGGCGACGTTCCACGCTTCCGTGAAATCCTCCATACCAGCACTATCCCTCCCCCCCCATCCCCACGTACAAGAAAAGATAATATACGTTCACACTTATATAAAGTCTCATGCGTGAAACGAAAAGATAGAGATAGGTATAACGTGTGTGTGTGTGTGTGTGTGTGTGTATGTGTGTGTGTGTGAGAGAGAGAAAGAAAGAAAGAAAGAAATAACAGGTGAACGCACGATATCTTGGATTTGCGCGACACCGTACGAGGAGGTGGAAAAAGGTCGACTTCGGGTTGAAAGCTTTCCTCTTCGGTTTGATATCGATTTAATTCTACCGACACTTTCTCCCCTCCTCTTGAAAAATCTTACGCTTGGTCGAATTTATATTCTTCTTCTTCTTCTTTTTCTTCTTTCTCTTTTTAACCGATTGCGTAAAACTCATTGAACTCGTTGAAAATAGGATGAAAGTACGGTGGTCGAGGGTGATATGAAAGAGAAAAAAAGAGGAAATAAGGCCGCGGTCAGCCATCCCATAATAATATCTACTGGCACGTTCGAATGAAATTATCTACGTTGCCTCGGTAAGGAACATGGATCATTGCTATAGCGAAAAAGGAAGAAAGAAAGAGAAAGAGAGAATGGAATTTTGCTAAGGAAAGAAAAAGGGATGATTATTATTACAGTATCGTTGGTTCTTTGCGTTTTTTTTCCTCTTTCAATAAAAGCAATACGGGGGAAAAAAAGGGAAAAGGAAATTCGCTAAGTGGAAATAAGTGATACGGCAATTCAATGATCTGTGAACAAAATGAAGTAACATTCGTTCTTGTTATATTATGAATGTTATAATAGATATTAATCGTTTAATATAATTAATGAAATAATTATTATGCTATTAAGTATGAAACCTCCGATAGGTTTGATATTACTTTCCAGTTTTAAATCGAACATTTCATATTTAATGACCTAATATTTCGATGAGAATCGCGAAGAAGAATTTTCAATTGAACAAACTCGTTGAAAAGACCGAAGCTCATTCATTAAAAGATTTGAGATAATACGAATGAATGAATGGTAGATGATACGAAGTTTACTTGAATCCTAAAATACAATTAAATCGTTGGTTACTTTCGTGAGAAATAAATCTTATCGAAACACTGATTATACATTGATTATTTATAGAATTATAGATTTGTTTAAGAGAAAAAGTAATAGATATATTTATCTCGATAAAAATCCAATTAAAAAGGTTTCAAGAGAAAGATGGATAGTCAATCTTAACGATTATCGCCTAGGTTCCTATGTGTTCGAGACAACCGATCCCATTTTGAAATTGTATCAGATCAGATAGGATTCCTGATCTGTCCTACATAAATATTAATTGCTCGGAATGTAAGCATGCGACGGTAAGAGACTGTGCGGTAAATCGTTCGTCGGCTTTTGTTCCCCCATTCTCGCTCTTGCCTATAAATCTCGTAGTAGAGAAAGGGTGAAGTAGGAGGAGAAGAGGGAGGAGAAGGATGCGTCGTGACCAGTGTCCCAGGTGGTCCGCATCTGCAGAGAATAGGTACTTTATACACTTTCTAAGATGTACGGCACGACCTACCCAAAATAAATGTTCCTTTCTCCCCCACCTCTCTATTTCTTTCTTTCTTTCTTTCTTTCTTTCTTTCTTTCTTTCTTTCTTTCTTTCTCTCTTTCTCTCTTTCTCTTTTTCTCTCTTTCTAATACATTCTCATTCGACGTTCACAATTAAAATTCGATTAGCAATGAATGACATTACAAAGAGACTTTTTTCTTTTCTAAAAGAATTCTAACTACTTTAGATCAGTAATGACTTAGAAAGACTATTAGGAAAAATGTGTTTAAGTAAGTTAAAAATAATGTTAAAGGCGTTGAATGAAAATATTTTCTCTATTATAGATATAATACTTATTTATAAATAAAGAATAAAATCCAAAAATAAAATAAAATAAAAATAAGAATTTTCACAAATTCGAATTACGATAGAATCGATACGAGACATTTCAACGTTTCCATCCTTTTGCTTTTCTTACATCGACGTACGTAAAGCACGTACAGCACGTGCGCGTGGGTGAGCATGTAAGAGGGTATATACGTATCGATAGGTAACGATAATAAAGAAAAAAAAGAACAGAAATCCAACGATACTCGTGGATTGGACTCGGTGAAGTGTATAATAATCTAGAAGAAATAGAAAAGAAAAAGAAAGAGAGAGAATGGAATGATCTCTCTCTGACTCTACTATACTTTTTCTTCTTTTTCTCTTTCGACACCCACGCGAGACTCTTCCGTAACCCTCAACCCCCTCGATAAACGCAATGAAATCGCCCTCGAGACTGAGCTCATTAATAATCGTTCGATGAATACGCTTCTAAGTTTACGCTCTTGCGTTTTACATTCTGGTTCACCCTTTATTCTGAGAACGTATACTTTTCTTTCCTTTTATTAGCCACACCATTTTATGAGGAGGATACTTTTAATAATCAACGTATATACTTGCAATGATAATAAATAATTATGTGGTAATAACGGGTAAGGATCTATTTGTTATATTGATGTCAAATATTTTGCTTGAAATTATTCTTTTTTTCCTTTTTTATTTATTTTTTATCTTTCTTTTTTTATTAAAGAAAATAATCTAAAAAAATGTGGTGTAACGAACGCAAATTTTCACTCAGTTTACATAGGAATGGTCATTGAAAAAAAAAAAAAGATTTTATTCGCGATTTCACGTTTTAACTGGTAGACCCAAACGATAGGACTCGTAAAGCTCGATAAACGTTTCAACGGTAAGCCCTCGTTGGTATATTAGCCATCGCGCTCTACAGTTTTGACCGTATGCATTCGTGAAAATACGTCGAATTCGTATAGTTCACCGCATCTGCTTTATCTCTCTCTCTCTATCGATGCGTTTTCCAAATTGGACACTCAATAGGATTGCTAGTGAATTCAGCGTTTCATTCGTCAAGATGATTCCTACATCATCCAGATAAATCGATACGATAATGGTCCTCTCATATTGATTATTTGCCGTTAATAACTACAGTGTTATTACAAATACATCATTTGTAAATATACATTTATCTATTCTATTCTTTTTTCGATGAAAATTATTTAACCAATATTTATATATCACTTGCTTTTTATAGTATTTAATAGAACGATACATTATATTCATTAAAATTAAATATCAACAAAAATAATCCTTTTATTGTTAAGAGCGATTACACAAAGTTATTAATAATATGACCGTACTTACGTTTATAAACGATAAGTTTAACCAACGAGATGAAAATAAATTACAGAAACGTATACGATTAAAAGTTATCAATGGTTAATTATTTATATTTTCTATAGATTTACTCGGTACCGTTTGTTTATCGAATCAACATAAGTGTTGGTTGTTTCTTCATTTAAAACAATGAAAAATGTAATTATCGATATGATCGATAAAATTAAAAATTTTGTAACGTTTTAAAGGCAACATTGACAATACACCTATTCTCTTTACGTATTCTACTAGAAAATATCGTCTCTTATTTTTTTTTTATTTCCAATTAATATCATTATTACACGAATATCGATTGATTTAAAGAAAGAACTTTACTCTCCGGTGTTTTCGATGAAATTATAAAAATACAAGCACGCTTGTTTATATTAATTTGAAAGAGAAGTGTGCTGAATAATGAATATTCAAGTGTATAGGTGGCTTGGTTCGATATTACAATTAGCACTTTCATATATGTGGTCGGAACGAGTATTACCTAAGCGTTACACCTGCAATCGAATAGACTAAAAACTATGACTTCACAGTGTTAATGATAAACACAATGCTAATAAATGGATTGTTCCCAGCGTGCAACGCAGATATGAAGTAGTTGTAGGAAATCTTCAAAAACTCATATACATAACTGTCGAAGGAGCCAAGGATATTAGGTTTCTTAGGGTAAATAATTTATGACAAGGGCTGGTTACCATCCAAGGACCTAAACCCGAAATAATTATTGTCAGCGTTCCTACTATTCAAAAGTAAACAAGCTCTTAAAGAAGTAAATTATACGAAACTTCCTGAACAATTTCAGATCTACTAGTTATTGCCTGAAAAAGTATAGCTTGCTTTAAAACACATTGATCATCCAGAAAACAATCAGAAGGAATACATTTTCTTAAAAAAAAAAAAAAAGAGTTTTCCTTCTTAAAATAATGAGAAATAAACTCGATAATTATTTCAATTATTACAACTTATTTTCTCAGTTATTTGACTTGTCAATTTTGTGCATATAGAAGAGAAATATAGTTATAAACATTAACTATCGAAATTATTAAAACTTAATCAAACCTATTAATTTTCATTACCCATAATATATGATCAAACATAACCTTGTATAATTTAATTTTGTCACGAAAAGTGATAGTACACTATGAGAACGTAGTGCAATTTTCGTGCAAACTGGTATCCCGTGTGAAAGTCGATCGAATGGAACAACAATCGCGTTTCAAAAGGGTCTATAGAACGGTGTAACGACTTGGTATATTCATGTACATGCATACGAAGATACGACGATTTCTATCTTTCGCGCACATAATTTCCTATACTCGTGCTACCCCCTATTCGTATTTCCAAGTTATCTATGTACAAGCATGGAGAAAATCTAGATCGCTTTTAAAGCGACGAGATTCTCACGCGAGCAAAGCTTTCTTACTATTCTTACCTATATTTCGCGCGACGACTGTACGACCGCTGCTGGTTAATAGCCATGCAAGGAGCAGCCCACCGAGCAGACCTTTCCGTCGACCCTTGCGGCACTCCATGGCACTCAGATTTCGTGCTCCGACTACGCCTGAAAACAGATAACAACAATATTTTTATTATTAGTTGATTCCTCCAAATTTTTTCTAGTAGAACTTTTAAAACGACGATAATGATACAATTTTATGAAACAACATGAAAAAAAGAAAGCGAAATAGAACCACAAACGGTCGACAGTTGAACGACATTATGGAAGGTTCTAGTATTATTTGGTGTGTGTGTGTGTACTTATATATTAGAATTAATTTAATATCTATTAAAGTAAAAATGATATAAAGTATATTTGTTGAAAAATTATATATCTATTAATTTCGATTTGTTAAGGGGTTATACGCAGTTAGAATTTTCAAAAAATCGATTTTTTTGCATTTTCGGAATGTACATATATTTAAGTATATTCTCTGAAAATTTGAAACCAATCCGATAAATATTTTCAGAGATATACCTGAATTTGTGAGGCCACATCAGAGTGTAAAGTCGTTCAGTACCAAATCTTTCGCCGTACCAAACTTCCAGTACCAAATCTTTTGTAAACAATAAACTTCATATTTATTATTTTTTATAATATTCTATTTCTGTGAAACAGATCCTGCGATAAGCCTATGAATTAAAATATCATGAAATACGATAGGCAGCAGAGATAAGATATTGTTTATCTAAATATTAAGTTTTTGCTGAGATAAGTGATTAGGTGAAATGTAACTCTTGTGACAGAAAAATAAAATTTCAAAATGCTTCCTCCTGTGGACTTGGTTTTTAAATCATTGTAGTGTGTGATAAGTGTGAAAATCGTGTTAATGGTGTAGTTGGCAGCAAGCTCTAGCAACAGACAAATTATCTTCTTACACCCATGATTATCCAACTTTACCAGCTGATGTTGCTGAAGCTATATTTCCAATTTATGAAGACTTTAGCAACGTTAAATTATTGGAAAGGTGTGTTGGTGGATTTACACAAAACAATAATGAGAGTTATAATCAGTTAATATGGAAAATAACTCCAAAAATTGTTCCCATGTGGCACTAAAGTTGTTGAAATAGCGGCTTACATTGCAGCTGGAATGTTGAATAAAGGTACAAAATCATTATTGTACTTTATGAGTGCATGTGGGCTTTCATTAGGCAATGCAACTCATGCTTATGTCGAAAAAGAGGACGCAGAGCGTGTGATGATCTCCGACGCGAGAGCGCATGGGAGCACGCGAGAAGGAAGAATTGCTCGACGACAACACCAGCTGGACTTATTAGAAGCTACCGATACGGCAAAAGGTTCCTGTTATGGCCTGGAATAGATGATACCATGAAAGTTGAAGAAAAAAATTTTTAACTATGTGAAAACTACTTCTGAAATTTTAAACGCGTTTTTCTCAAAACAGTGTTTTCAAAGTCGGTGATCTCGATTTCTCAAAAATGGCTCAACCGATCGGTCTCAAATTTTACCACAATCTTCTTATTTATATTCCTCAGGTATTGGACAGAGGACAAAAATTTAAATAAATTATTACTATTTTTTTTAATCAATTTGGAGCGAAAATTTCAGTCAAAAACGGAACATTTTTTTCAAATAGACATCATTTTGTCAAAAATCAAAATTTTTATTATTCCTTCGTCCAATACCTGCATTAATCTATCCTTTAAAAGAATCCACAACATTTTTTAAATTCAGATAATCCAAACCACCGAAATGGAGATAACCGCCAATCGCCTTTTTTTGGAGGTCGTTCGGGAGATCATCTACAGGAGCGGTGCACATCAATATTTTTACATGATCGACGCACTATTGTATTCTTAAAAGTAGACTCTATTTGAATTACCATCACTTGTAATTGACAAATAAAAACTGTTTCTATAAAAAATTCATAAAAAAACGTTATTTTTTAGCCTTTAGCGATTGTTAATTAATTGAAATAAATGTATATTGTAGTCTAAAAGCACGTAGTATAAGTTCAACGAACCGTTTTTTTCGAAATCCATTGTTAAACTGACACATTGTCCTCTGTGAAAGTCAATTAAAATTTTTCTATTTATTCTTGTTTATAGGACTTTTCGAAGGAATACATTTTATTTACTATGAATATTATTTTCATTATATGTGCGTACCCTTTGAAAAGTCATATAAACAAGAATAACGATGAATCCGAAGAAAGATTACCCCTGTTTTTTGAGTTTTATCAAAACGCGCGCGTACGATTTTAAGATACATTATTTTTGTACTTGTTTAATTCACTTTGTTTTTAACAAAACTTTCAAGTTAAACTCATTTAATATGTAATATATTTATTTCTAAATTTTGTTCATCTTAAACATTCTACATCAAGGAATATTTAATGAGAGTTATGGTGTACGTTTTTAAGAGAAAGTTACTGTATTATTGATATACTGAAATTAATTGATTACTTTTCGCGTAATAATACGAATTTCACTTCTATCGCGCATAGAAGGCCACGCACTATTCTTTTTTATTCTATTTTACTATTAATTATTCATTTTTATTAATTAGTTACTATAGAATGCTAAACGGTAGATGTATAATATGTAGTATACAATAATATTGAAATATGTTTTTATGTATAACAATTTTAAAATATTGTTTTGCAAGAAAATATTAATTGTTTCAAAATGAATACTTTTGTAACTCACTGTATATTTGAAACACACGATTCACCATTTACAACAGAATCTCAGTTGGTCACTAGTTGATCACTGAACTAGTTTTAAGACTACTTACATGAAGTTACAAACTGAGACTGACTTTTGTCTCTTGGGACTTGGTTATCAATCGTGATCCACACGCACACGTGTAATACTTATGCATACGTTATTCAATCATATCCTTTTAATAACAAAACACTCGGCACGTTCTAGAGATAAGATATCATTGTTCGTTGAATTTCAACCACTATCCTTATTCCTCTGTTTATATTCATTTTTTAGATGCCATACTAAACGATTGATATTATATTACCTTCATTTATTCTATTGTCAGAAATAAATAATAATTTTATATACATCATAGAATAATAAATAATCAAAAAATTCAATATACAGATATATTTTCTTTCATCTAGATATTTCACATTAAATGATTTCTTTATTATAATATCTTCAACGATAAAACGAAAAATATAAACTATATAAACTATCCATCCAACATCTTATCCTAAAAGAAAAGCCTCTTCTTATCAATACGTAGCTGGCCTATCAGGAATGAATGCCATAAATCAGCTTAATCCGCGAGCCGAATAAATAATAAAGAAATAGGGAATGAAGGTGTTTGCGTTCGTATATATGTGCGTGTCAAAAAAAAGTACAGCTTGGGTTAGATGAAAGAAGAGATGGAAAGGGGTTTGGGGGGAGTGGGGAGGGGGTGGTTTGGGGGATGGAAAAAGAGTCGTGGGTCGAATGTATACGTGAATGTGGGTTAACGAAGGCAAAAAGGAAAACAGTTTCGGCATCAGCATTTCGGCGTTTACCGAGCGCCGCACAATAGGATACCTTCGAATGAAAACATTCTCTACTCTGGTTTGCACGAGAGCGAAAAGATGAGAGAAAGAGAGAGAGAGAGAGAGAGAGAGAAAGAGAGAGAGAAAGAGGGGTGGGAGAGAGAGAAAGAGAAGAGAGGATAAAAGAGAACGGCATACGCAGGGAGATGGAAATAGAGCGAAAAAGCGCCTCTGGCGTAGAATCCTCTTTTCCGACCCTCCCCCTCTTGCCAACCCCCTTCATCTCTCTTCCACTTCTCTTTCTCTCTTCGATCGTTGCACCCACGTTTCGCGCGTTACCACACGACGAATCGTGAAAATGCACGGGCCATCGCGCCGAAAACATCGTTTTTCGGTAAAAACAACGCGCATAGTTCTCGAAAAAAAGAAAAAGGAAATGAAGAAAAAGAGAAAATGTGCGCTAGGAAGAAAATACATGTGGGTAATATGTATATATTTGTATATACGTAGTATATGGTTGTATATATATATATTTGTAAATATATGCTAAATTTACTTTTTTTTTCATTCGTTGGCGCAAAACTAGATCTCGCAACGCGTATGTAGATCGTATATTTTTTTTATTTTTTTTTATTTGAAACAAATTTTGAAGTACACAGATGAAGCGCGATGACGAACGAATGAACGTATGTGTATACCTATTAAAAATCTAGACGTCTTTTATACGCGAAATTTCCTTTCGTATATTTCTTTTTCTCTTTTTTCCTAGGACTCCCACTCGATAGTGTTCGTGAAAAATTAATGACGAGTGCAAGCATACACATTCGCGAAAACTCATGAGCAAGTAAACGAACGAGCTTTGTTTTTTTTTCTTTTTTCCCTTTTTTTGCATGCTCAGTGCATTACGCTATTGCTTCTAAGAAGGACTGAAATAAAGAGGAATATAGTAAGAAAGAAAAAGAAAAATATAAAAAGAGGGAGAAAGAGAAAGAGAAACACATCTCATCGTCGTTCTTGCATTTACTATGGAAAATTGCTTTAACGCGTATTGTTTCATCACGCGTTGTTGTTCTAATACAACGCGCATCTTTTTTTCTTTCTTTCTTCTTTTCTTTCTTTCTTTTTCTCTCTCTCTCTCTCTCTCTCTCTCTCTCTCTCGCACGCTTTAATCCCTGCAAAGTGCAACTGCAACACTCGGGTATCATCATACTCGTCAAAAACATACATTAATAATACAAGGAACCTAGCTGAAAAATGTGATTCGGTATTTCACTGTTATATATAAAATATATATATATATATATCTACATGTACTCATTCTCAATGTGAACAAAATAATGAATATAAAACGTTCGAGAATTTAAATGGTTAGAAAATAGCGGTACAGTAGCAATTTAATATTTGCTATGTTGGTTGTACCGTAATAACGTGGTCGAGATTAGTCATCGTAATTCGTTTAGAAAAAAATAAAGTAACAATTCCAATTCCCAAAGAAAAGCTATCTGTTCGGTGAGATTAGATTATACGGTAAGAGTTAACTGTTCTAATCACTGAGATTAGAAGTGATCGTATCGCGATTAAATCTATTT